GCCTCTTGGAGAGGATGAATCCTCCATGCAACGTGGAAGTAGAGCCAGCTCTGCTTCAGCAAATGAGGACGCCCAGGGGAATCAGACAGGACAGCGAGAGTTCGATCTCCCAGGACCAACTCACGACCATCCAGACGGAGACGACATTGATGAACCGAATCGATCAGAACTCGAAGAGGAATCAATCAAATATATGGACGACGTCGTTGACAAGTTCAGGAAAGGAGAAATCACAAAGCTCAAAGCTTTATCGAACATCATATCCATCCTCAACTTCGATCCCGCGAGGACTAATCGAGCCAAGGACGCCGCTGTTGAATTCTACGCCAAAACCCTTGACGAATACGCCGCCCTCGCTTCTTCATCGGTTAAGCGCGGCAAACACGCAGAAGTCGGACTACAATCTAAGGGAACTCAACCAACACAACACCAATCAGCAGACCCCTACGCTGACCGAGCCATCGACGATCTCATCTCTCAAATTAGTCGAGACTCCAACAAATCAAAGAGAGGAAGTTCTCCCTTGCCATCTGACCACAACGACGACCTTGATGAACCCTCTAACAAGAAGCGACGTATCTTCGAATCTGAAATGCCTTGGTACACTCGAGAAGAAGAAGCCAGGCAGAGCGGACACGAGGAATGTGAAGAATCCAGACGAATTCTCCAACTCTTCGCCCGTGATTATAAGGTTGTCCGCCAGTGGATCCAAAATTCAAGAACTGCCCCCCTCGGATTCCCCACCTCGGAATGGGACAACATCATCAAGGGACAAGCAGTCAATCTCGATGCCGTGCTCTCGTCACTGCACCATATTTCCGCTCCTAAAGAGAACATTGGACGCGTGGGATCAACTGAAATATCCCTTGGGCGATCCGAACCAACAAAGAAAGTCCAAACGAGTGGCGAGTGGACCAGCGCCTGGAACGCCACCGTCAAAGCAATTAAATTCGCTTTCCCTCACCGTGAACAAGAGCTCAGAGACTACGGCGAGTACATCGAGGGGCATTTCTCTGCCAGAATTGTCGGAGCTCACTGCAAAATCATCTTATATGATGTTGCCATCCGGAATGAAGTCGGTGGAGGACAAAACGCCCTCCTCACAGATACTCACCGCTTCACAAGATTTTATTCCGCCATCGTCATGCCCGACGGAGTCGAATCAAACCACGTCACGCTGGGAAGCAAGCGATCTGTTGGAAAGGTCACTAAGTCCGAAATCTGTAACCGCTTCAACTCCCCGAATGGATGCAGAAATTCAGTCGACGACTGCAGGTTCCGCCACGCCTGCAAAAAATGCAAGCACCTTGGTCACGGACAGAAAGATTGCGACGTCAAAGAAGGATCTAGCGCATGAATTACGTCCAAAGTACCTGAGATACAACATTTGGGATGGTAATCACACCTTCTCTCGTTCTTCCGCCGACTGGTCAGAAACTGCGACACCTTTGCCTCAAATCCCTGCCTCTGAACTCAATAATCCAATCGTCACTAGAACGATCCAACAAAACCCTCTTTTGTTCGACATCGTCACCCCCATCTTCATCGACCGCTTCGAAGAACTTCTAGAGACTCACCCGAACAAACCTTTCGTCAAATCTGTTTGCAAGGGACTCCGTGAGGGTTTCTGGCCTTGGGCCGATACCCACTTTGGAGACTACCCCGACACGCTCAACCTATCATTGCCTGAGCCAACCAATGTTGAAGAAGCTCAATTCTTGAGAGATCAGCGAGATCAAGAAATCTTCAAGGGTCGTTTCTCTGACTCATTTGGAGACAAACTCCTACCTGGCATGTACTGCATGCCTGTCTTCGCCGTCCCGAAACCTCACTCTACTGACCTGAGAATGGTCACAGATCAGAGTGCAGGGAAATTTTCGTTGAACAGCATGATTCCTCGTGAAGACATCATCGGGTACCCTCTGGACAACCTTCAACACTTAGGACAATTCCTAATCTCTATGCACGACCATTTCCCGGATTCACCTCGCGTTTTATTTAAGTCCGACGTTGCAGAAGCATACAGACTCCTCCCAGTCCACCCTTACTGGCAAATCAAGCAAGTCAACCGTATTGGAGGGTCCCTCCACGTTGACAGAAACACCGCCTTTGGTGGCCGCGGATCAGGTTGCAACTGGATCGCATTTATGTCACTGGTATCATGGATCGCAAAGAAAAGAAGGGCCATTGAACTCCTGGGTACATACTCGGATGACTCATTTGGGCCGGAACTCGCATCCAACCTCACGTATTACCCTCCGTATCGCAAATTTATGCCCACAAACCAAGTCAAGTTACTCGAATTGTGGGATGAAATCAACTTACCCCACAAAGAGAGTAAGCAAATTTTTGGGTCTCCGCTTACTGTCATTGGAATCGACGTTGACGCTAACACTCTCTCAATGACCATGCCACCTGGCACCCTCCAACAATTAATCACGGCCATTCGTGACTTCATCTCTAGCAAGCACAAGTTCACTCTCCGTGAATGGCAAAGGTTGGCAGGCTGGATCAACTGGAGCCTGAATGTCTTCCCCCTCCTCAGACCTGCGTTGAACAATTTTTACGCAAAAATTGGCGGCAAATCTGCCCCAAACCAGTTCATTAGAGTCAACAACGCCGTCCGCGCTGACCTCGAATGGGCTGCAAATCACCTGGAACGTGACTCTGGTGTTCGACTCATTCAGCAGATCTATTGGGATGCTGACGACGCCAACATTACAATTTTTTGTGATGCCTGTCTCCAAGGTATGGGTTTTTGGTTGCCTGACAGTTGCGTCGGTTTCTACTCACCCACACCCGATGGCATGACGGATGAGCACATCTTTTTCTTTGAAGCTCTATGTGTCCTATCTGCAATCCACCACGTTACCGACACCCTTTGTGTCCCACCAGCCACCAGAGTCCTCATTTACACGGACAATGACAACACCGTTGCCATTTTTAACACTCTCAGGTGCCTTCCACATTACAACTCAGTTCTCCTTGATGCAGCGGACACATGCATTAACTCAAACATACAGCTCAGAGTTCTCCATATCGCCGGGGAACTCAACTGTGTCGCCGACGCCATCTCCAGGCACAAGTTTGATGTCGCATGGCAGTACGTCCCCAACCTTAACATCTCCCCCTTTTTACCCCCTCGATTGCTGCTGGGGGCTCCCAAAAAATGATCACGTCCACTGTGCGTGCCAGGCAACCCCTTAGGGAAGCCTGGTCACGGGAGAGGCTACTAAGAGAGCGCGCTATCGCTCTCGGACATTGACATCTCACTCCTCAACCAGGTATGATCTCTATTTTTTATCTAGGCCCTCGTCTTGATATCTTACATGTCATTCAGTTCTAGCATACGAATTTTTCGTCACCCTCCCACCCACTTCCCATTATACTACGAGACATCTCTAGTACTACTCATGTATGTAGCCATACCTCGAGTGGAAATACGTCGGAATCTGGCGCGCGCCGCGCCAGATCTCCTGACCTTGGCTATTTTTCTTGTCACACAAGTCACCCATATCGCCTCTGCATCATGCAAAGCCTAGGCGTCATTGGCCGGATTCCGTTGCATTCCATTCCTGCCATTCCTGCGGAACATTCCGGTGTCAATTCCGGAATGCCGAAATTCCGCCGGAATGGTAAGGCACCGGAATTATGAAAATAGCAGGCCTCCCTGCCAAATTTCATTCCTCCGGAATCCACCGGAATCCGCAGGAATGACCGGATTCCTGCAGGAATTAGGGGGGCACTGATAAGACCTCCTCGTTTAAAACATATTCTAGTGTCGTTTGAAGGTCCCAAAGAGACGAGAGGTTTGCGTGTCCGCGTTCCGGAGATATCTTTTATTTTCTGTTTTGGGGAGCAAGTACCTTAGGTCAGTCAAATTTCCATTGTTTGTTATGATATAGGGCTCGTTTAAAACATATTCTAGTGTCATTTGAAGGTCCCAAAGAGACGAGAGGTTTGCGTGTCCGCGTTCTGGAGATATCTTCCATTTTCTGTTTTGGGGAGCAAGTACCTTAGGTCAGTCAAATTTCCATCGTTTCTTATGATCTAGGGCTCGTTTAAAACATATTCTAGTGTAGTTTGAAGGTCCCGAAGAGACAAGAGGTTTGCGTGTCCGTGTTCTGGAGATATGTTACATTTTCTGTTTTGGGGAGTGAGTACCCTAGATCAGCCAAATTTCCATCGTTTCTTATGATCTATCTCTTGTTTAAACCATATTCTAGTGTAGTTTGAAGGTCCCAAAGAGACGAGAGGTTTGCGTGTCTGTGTTCCAGAGATATATTACATTTTCTGTTTTGGGGTGTGTGACTCTGTCACACCGTCTCAGGCAATTCTTAGCTATTTTCTATGATCTTAGGTTCATTTAAAGTATATTCTATTACTAGTTGAATAATATGTACAGACAAAAGCCAATTTTATTTGTTTCGAATGAGCTAGCATGTGTGGTTGATGAGGCTGAAAATCCCGGCTCTAGCCAGCTCAAGCAGTAGCCAAGCCAGATCAATCGGCTCAGCTCGGCTCGGCTTTAATTTCATCTCGGCTGTGGCTTGAACCAGCTAAAAGCCGAAGCCGCGGCAACACTAATCAGGACAGGCTATTCTCTGTTTTCACATTGTTAGTTACTAGTCTGTTTCCTTTCACACATGACTAACCCTAAGCCAACTTGGGCATGATGTGAAAAAGTGATAATGAGGCAAATTAAAAATGTGAGGTCATGGTTGTTTGTGGGTGGGGGCGGTGAGTGTTGTTCATGGGTGCAATGTTGTCGTTTGTGGGCATTGAGTGTGTGTGTGTTCGTGTTTCAGGTCATTCGTGTGCTGAGGTTGTCGTTTTGTAGCATGCTGGTGCTGGTTCTTGTGGTCACGGTTAGCGGGATGGCATGGAATGAGGGTGGGGGGTACTCACTTGCAATAGAGACGATGACGGACAACGAACGATGTTGCTCATCGTTGAGTTGCCACATCACTCGGCTATGTGGCACCTGGAACTACCCCATCCTATTGTTGCATAAGTCGTGTTGACGCTCGTTCAGTTGGTGACGTGGACGTGGCACATTGTGGTAGGTGTGGGCGACAAATTTGGATGGCGGCCACTGGAGGGGACCCTGCTGGTCGTGAAGAGCGATGGTGATGACAGTTGGTGGTGGTAGGAGGAAGAAGGTGGCCGTGTTTGGTGAACTTGATTGCCAAACAAGCACTGTGGTCGTGTTTGGTGAGCATCGGAAATAAACAAGCTATAATACATAACAAAACAATAAAATAACCAGATTGCAGTTCCTGCCCATTCTGAGGTCTTTACACTCCCCGGTATGTTCCATATGGAATGGGTGGATTCCAACCTCATTCCATGGACTCCATATAGGCAATTTTTTTATTCCAAGCCCACTATGGATTCCATATGGAATGCTCATGGAATGGTGACTGGTGGCTACCACTTTTATCTATAACCTAGACTTAAGCCTAGAGAGTCATTTCTATAACTTAGACTTAAGCCTAGAGGCCATATCTATAATGCTTAGGATTTTTTGAAAGGCATTTCAAATGTAGGCCTGGGTATTTCATAGTGAATTGTCCATAGATACCCACAATACAAACTTTGTAGTCAAGATAACCTTTTGACTCAAACCCTAACTATGTAGTCTAAGTCCACGCTTTTGTAGTCTAATTTCGACTTTTGTAGTCTTTTATAGTGTATCAGTAAACTGTGTAGTCTAAGTCTGACTTTTTTGTAGTCTATCAGTAAACTTGGTAGTCTATATCTGATTCTTATAGTACGGGATGCACCTTCCTTTTTTGGTCATTTTTCCCATGATACAATAATTGTAGCCCTTTCTTTTAGCTTTCTGAATATACTGAAATCATGTTATTTGGTTTTGTTTTCATAGAGAAAAACACAAAAAAAAAAAAAACACAACGCTTTGAAATCCTTTACCTCATATCT